TAGGAGTTTTCAGCTCCTTTGGTTCTTTGTTAGGGTGGAATATGATTTTTATATACTGAAAACCCTCTTCAAAATTCCAACCGTAATCTTACAGTAACGAAGAGGGATTTTTGATCCGCACCATACTGTAAATCTAATTTGAAGCCAGCTCCACAAAATGGTACCTGCAGCTTCTCAAAAGACTATTAAAAAAGTTATTAGCAATCAAACAGTAGTTACATTTTTGGGACATCCTCTGTATGACGGGTACTGAAAGTTAAATCAAGGTGCAGTTCGAACTTGGCTAATCAGTGTTAGTGGCTAAGATAGAGTTTAGCAAATATCCGAATAGGATGTGTTTTAGTTCTAAAGGCATTGTCCAGGTCAACTGGGGGGTAGTGGGATTTTGACGCAGTGTGGGAGCACGGCTCCTGACCAATGCAATAGTGCAAGTCCAATCGAAAAAGGTGGATTCTGAAGCGAGAATATCGCTTTGGAAAAAAGCGGAAAAAAGGGGCGGTACTCCTCTCGCCCACTTGACAAGTTTTGACGCGGTTTATTGAACATTGAACTTACAGCATTCGCCTCGTCAAAACTTGTCAAGGAGGCGGGATTGGCGGACCACCCCTTTTTTTCGAAGCGATTTTCTTGCTTCAGAATCCACCTTTTTCGGTCGGACTTGAACTGTTCCCATTAGGCGGGAGCCGTGCTCCAGCACTGCGTCAAAGTCCCACTACCCCCATTTGACCTGGACAATGCCTTTAAGCTTTAGTAGAGAACGACGAAAGAACTAAGCGTTGGAGGAGCTCGAGAGGCAACGTCCAGATTGATTGCCGCTATCCAGGTTTCGGATCTGGAAACGTTACTTTACATCGTATTCTACAAGAGTTTTGCAAACAGATCAAGGAGAAAATGCATTATCTATAGCATTTTAGGCTGATTTTTGCCTGTGCTTGAAATTTACGCTTCAACAGCTGAGTCATGAGGCGCGCTCAAACTAGAAATGCAAACCAAAAGAAGCTTAAGATCTGAAGAGTATAGACAATTTACCGCTAGAAAGGACAGTTAACAACCGACGATGCGATGATACATAAACGCAACTTTCCACGACTAACAATGAACAAAATGATGCACTACGTGCGAGAAAGCGCCTTGTCTAGTGTATGTGCTTACACGTTTGTTGATGGCGCGCCGCTCGCACGGCCACTAAGGATGGTGCACCGCCGCCGTAAGCAAGGTGCACCGCTCACACGCTAGTTTCGATGGCGCGTTGCTCATCAGCAACCATGCCCCGCTCACAAGTTTAGGCGCGCCGCTAGTACGGTAAGCATATGAAGGTGCGTGCGTCGTCGAAAAAAGTGTCTGAGTTTTTGTCAAGATCGTCTTTAGATTTAGAGTGGCTTAGCTTTGCGGAGTTGATAACATCGGTAAACTTTCCCAATCTATTCTGTATTGCCTTCGGGTTATCATGAGAAAAAAAATCACCAAGCGTAAGCTACAAGTTTTCGTCCACTCGGTGGAGAGAGGAACGTACAAGAGTGACGTTTGTGTCTGAAGACTATGATCGGCTCCCAGATTTGTGTGAAGGCGGGTTGCGGACTTCCCTGATTTTAAGAATAAGCTTGAAGGCAAATAGACCCTAGTCAGATTTTGGTAACCTTAGGTTGTAGACCCTCCCCCTAGTGCACCGTAGCCCCACCCCCACCCTCCAATCCATGCGCCGACTCCTGAGAATGCGCTCAAAAACTCCAGCATAGACCTCACTCAATGAAGCGCATGAACTGGAGGGTTGGGGTAGGGCTGCGGTGTAGTTGTATGGTCTAATACCTAATACTATCAAAATCTGACTAGGTTCCCTTTCGATGCACTGCCTTCAGCGAGAGAGTACGAAAAACAATGCAGCAACACCGAGGTTCTACAAGTTTAATTTTATATTCAGGGAAAATCCGTAACACGCCGACTCTGGGAGCGTAGGTGTACTGATTCACACTGATTTTATCTTGGCAGATGGGTTGTTATCAATTTTCTTGAGTCTGATTAAGATGTATGGTGGTACTTTGCTTATGGCTGACATTTTGGCATCTTTTCCCTTGTAAGAACCTGGAATCAAACTCCTGACATATCCTCTAAAAAATCTCATCTGATCTTGGAGATTCGTACTGGAGATCGATTGAGATGAGAGCGAGTAGAGATGAAACAAAGGAGAAATGTTGTGATTTTTGGACTAAGCCATCGTATAAGAGATTACTACCACCAATTCTATCTCACGCTAGCTGTTCAGTTCTTTACAGGCTGACGTTTCGGCAGGTCACATTCTTCAGAGCCTTGAATAAACAAAAGATCTACAACTTATCCAATCAAATGCCTCTGCATCCCTACAAGCAAAGTCTTAGGGCTTTGCCTGTTCACTGATCAACTGCAGAATCAACACTTACCTTTTCGATGCCGATAGCATACGGTGCCTGAGCGAGTGCTGCTGAATGATCATGTGTACCATGCTATCTATATGCCTCCAATGAGTCAAAAGAGGGGATCCAGGTAAGGTGCGAGTTTACGAGTGATTTAGAGACACCTTACCTTACCGTACTTCTTGCGATTCATTTGTGGACTTCTATTCATGCGCTAAAATACTTACTCTTTTTTAGAATTTCAAAGTTTCTCCTGAATGTTTCAGCAACCCGTGAGTGCCAAGAGGTATGGTCGTGCGTGATCTGTCACACACTATATCACTGTCACACCCTGTAAAACACTGTTTCTGCCGTCTAAATGCTGTTTAATGCGAACGCATAAAGTGCTTGCCGTTCCACCGATGTATACGTCGCGCACCTCGCAGGTGATAAGATATGACCCCTAACGTAACAATCCCGCCCCTGCCTGCAGGGCAGATAATGCAATCAGTCGTTGAGCAGGTGCGATCGTAGATGCGATTGCGGACCAAAAAACCTATTAGGTTATTTGGGGGTATCTCCACCATCACAAAAAGAGTTCTCCGACCCGCATCTACGACTAGTTGGAAACTCTGTTGTGATGGTGGAAAGTGTATGTTTGGTTCGGCACTCTAATCAGTTAACAGGCAGGTCTCAGAACCTTGCTTGTAGAGCTGCAGAGACATTTGATTGGATAGGTTGTTGATTGTTTTGTCCATTCCTGAAGAAGGCGTCTGCCAAAACGTCAGCCTATAAATAACATGCGGCCTATATGAACAACTACGATATCTGCACCATGCCGAGGTTCATAGAGTCGAACAATCTATCTCACGTGTAATCTCATGAGCCCTAACGCAATCCCCTTGCTGTAAATTAGAGTTGCACAACATAAGGACGTAAGCCTGTGTGCACTTTTATGCTCGTATTTCTTAGTGGTTTAGGACTTTTAGCCAGCAAAACGTCTAGACGTTTTGCGGGGCCTATTTGTGGGTTCATATGACAAGATGGGCATTTTATTTTGAGCCGTCTTATCCGAGCTCAAGTAGAACAATGATAAGTTTATTTATTTATTTATTTTGTACGCTCGTAGGCGTGCTTTTGAATAGAGAAAAAGCAATTACAAGACAAACATCAATCACAGAGAATACAAAGAAGTTTAAAATATAGATTATGTACACAGAAATAGATGAATGCTAGAAAGGACTTTAGAAGACATATTTCCGAGTAGAGATCCCTTAAGAATTTCTTCAGTAACAATCCATCCTAGTCCGCCAACGGAAATGCCCATAACAAGGCAGCGTGAGCACCCCGAGGGCCCGACAAACGGCTACACCGGCAGCCCCGCCAGCATAACCATACGGGTGCACTGGCAGGGGGCCGCCAGTACACCCGCTTGTCAAATTCTCAGCGCGCACGCACCACCCAGCCATAACCCCCGCCGGTGAAGAAGAGCAGATTGATGAGTCGGGTAAGGAAATTCAACAGAATTAATCGTCACTCGGATATGCCTTTTAGAGCCCGCTAGTTCAACTGGGACGAAAAGCACATAAGTGAATTTGAATTAAAGAGGTAACATGGAAAGACAATTCAACTGTTACACTTAATCAATCTATTCGAAACAAAGGAGAAAGCAAACATGGGTAGGGGTGATGCACAAGCAGCCAAAGAAAAAAGAAAATCTGAATTATTATTCAACATCTGGAATTTGTAGTATCTAGAGCATCAATTCTGGAAATAGCTTTTTTGAACTGGAACGAATTTTTGAGAGCTAATAAAGTGGGCGGTAGACATTCGAGCCATTTGGCAGTCTTTGAGATAAAAGTATTCAGTCGGCGAGCACGATTCGAGGTAGGTAGCTTGGAAAATCGAAAAGCGATAGAACCATGACGACCATAGACAGGGCGAAAAGTCCAAAATTTGGAAGGTTTCAAACGCAGCTCTCCTCTAAGTATCTTGAATGCTAAAATCAAATCATTTTGAATCTTATATATAAAGCTGAAAGTCTGTTTGTCTGTCTGTCTGTCTGTCTGTATGTATGTATGTATGTCTGTGTGTACGTATGTTCCGAATAGAAAATTCCATTTCTAAACCGATCGGGACCAAACGTAGCACACATACACTTCGGGCCCCGGCGGGTGTCATAGGCTACTTTTCGTCATCGATCGATATCGATTTTATCGATTTTTTGCAAAATTTGAGCTACGGGGCTGGGAGTTGGCACAGGGGGGTAATCGAGCATGCTGATCACCCCCGTGGGGGTGATCAGCAACATCGACATTGATCGATAACAAAAAGTGGACTGTGACACCCGCCGGGGCCCGAAGTGCATGTGTGCCAATTTTGGTCCGGGTCGTTTGAGAAATGGAATTTTCTATTCGGAACATACGGCGGAGCCGGGTAAGCCAGCTAGTTCTTCTATAATACAGACTTTTGAGATTTAGTTTTTCCAGACGATTTTGGTAGGAAGGCAAAGTTTGAGGATAATGAGAATCTGGAAAAGCACGGTAGTATAAAACTCTAGGACGTTTTCAATTTTATTGATTTCCTTCTTGCGAAAAGGGTTCCTTTGTTGTAGGATTTACAACTCTGTTTTAGCGTTGGATGGAGGAGCAAGCGCAAAAGCTCGTCGATGCTACTGCTCGAGCATTTACCGGCGGAAATACAACCAAGGCGATGGGCAAACCATTGGCCATGGGAGCACCGATGATGCCAGCTATGATGGGGAGACCACCCATTATGAGTGCTCCTGTTGCTGGAATGCGTGGAGCAATGCCACCTTTCGGATTCCCCGCAGCGGTAACTTTCTATTTTTTTTTTTTGCGAAATGAGTAGTTCAGTCATGTCTTACTTGCAGATGCCCCCATTCGGAGTTCCTATGGGTATGCCTCCAATTCGCCCTCCTGGTCCTTTCCGTAGTGGCCCTGGTCAATAGACAATCTCACTCATGGTTACATTTGGTTTTTGATTATTTTGATCCATCTGGATCCTACCATTGTATTTTTTGATCGTACCTGTTTATGCTATAAAGATATTGGATGAATAAAGTTTTCTGGTTTACAATACAGTAAGTTCTCGTAATAATCTGGTACCATACTTGGAGAGTTCTTGAATGCTTGATTTGCTATCCAGTCATTACCCATCCGCCGTCGCTGGCAGTAGTACAGAATCACTTTTCCATACTGTCAAAAGCGTGCCCTAGGCTGACCAGTTGGTTGATCTGCAGAGAAAAACAAGTCAAGCAAGAAGCTTTTGCCTCAAAGGCTAGTATCTTACTTGAGCATGGATGACGAGGACAAGGGAAGAATAAGGCGAGAAATTGCCTCGTCTTTTCGAATCAATGCATTCGAACCTAAGAAGTGAGATGCACTCTTTTCGTTTTTACTCGTTCTCAATGATCTTTTAGGGAAGTGGTTGATACGTGTGTAGAAGCGTTATGCAAGTACGACAAGGAAAAAAGAATAAAATGGATGAACAAGATACTTGAGACGTTGAGGAAACAGTCCCGTAAGTCTCAAGGAATTTCTCAGGATATTTATGTACGGGATGTCCTGAAAGCGCTTGTACACTTTGATCGTTGATATCTCTCTAGTACTTTCGTGCAATGCGGCTTCAACTTGGGGTTGCTAGTTTCAGTAGCAGCTTTCTTCCTCCCCCCCCCCCCCCCCAATGAGCCAGTGAAGTCCGTGGCGAAAAAGCTCGTCTACAAAGCTTAAAAAGCTCGTCTATAAAGCTTCGAAAGTCTTTCGGATTCTGTGCCTCCGTTCTGGACGCACCCATCCTGCGATTTCATGCTGCATGCTAGGGGCGCATGCCGCACACGGTTATGACCACAGGGTCTCAGACCGACCCTGCGCTTTCAATATCAGCGATCTGCTGCATCCTTCTAGATTTGAAACAGGAGTTTCGAAAGCCGTTTTTGCTTTTTTACGTGCTCCAGGCTTCATTTTTGGAATGGAGGGATCTTGATCGCATGAGCGGAACAGTTCCAGTCCATTTTGCTGATACGCCTCCGAGGTAAGGGTTCCTTCATACTACGCGGCGCACGCCGCGTACGCCACCTACGCGGCGTACGCCCAGATACGTCAACATTGTGAATTGTGAAGTCAGCGCCGAAACTTGAATGTTGTTTTGTGAGCAAAGAAAACAAGCTGCGGCTACAACGGCGCATCAAATTTGCAATGCAGTCTAACAGTACAAAGAAGAGAAATCCTTTTCATCCAGTGACTTGTTTGTGAGGAGATGTCAACAGCGCAGATATACAACTAGATACAACATACACATACAACCATATACTACCACTACCAGATGACGCAAGTGCAGTCAGTTAAGATACAAAATGTGAAACTCACAAGTAGGGGGAGCACAACAACCTAAGTCATTCCATCAATTTGATATAGAAAAAGGATAGACAGGATAAACAAAGCAAAAGAGAGGAAGAAATGCATAATGCGAAGGAACACTATTGAGGGACACGAATGTCCAGCAAATATAGAGATAAATCAAAAAAAGTGGAGATCTGCTGCATTGAGCATATTTCCATTGCGCTGCAGCGGCGTACGTGGCGTGCGCGGCGTAGGTGGCGTACGCGGCGTGCGCGGCGTAGGTGGCGTACGCGGCGTAGTATGAAGGAACCCTAAGGTATAGTCCGTCCGCGCTGTGCTCGAAGAACAACGCTGTTGCTTCCATTGAAGATAGATCATGACTAGAAGAGGCGCAGGGGAAAAGAGCAGCGAGAGTGCACGAGGGAAGACGAATGTCGCGCAATACACACCTTGCGCACTGTCCGCGTCCTGCGCAGACGGCCTATACCCTATTGAAGGAGGTTTGTCTCAGGCCTGCAGTATCACTGATCGCCCTTAGTGAAAACGGTAGATTGGGGTCATCTCACAGGATTTCTGAGTTTGGAAGTATGTAAGAATGGGGTGGATTTGTCATACTGTATCTAACGTAAGAGATCGGCCATAGTTGCCGGCACCTATGGCTGGGGTTGCCGTTGTTGTCGTTAGAACGCATAACTGACTACAATATCTACAATTACCGGCAACGGTCAAGCGTGGGGTGTGGCATGCCACACCTGGGGGGTCGTACTGACGAATCAGGGAGGGGGGGGGTCGTTATCAAGGGGACGTATTCGAGGCGCACAGCTATTGACTTTGGCTCACGTCGCCCTTGGTCAGCCTTTTGTCCGCGGAGCGCGGCAGCCTCCTTGGACTTTGATTTCTTTCTTGCATCTCCAACTTTGTGTATCTTCTTCTTTCTCACATTGTCATAAAAAGTCATCCTGCGTAGCATTTTTCGACTTTTGTCTTCTGTTTGTATTTGGGGTGTCAAAATTGCTAGAGATCTAGAAAATACTAGCTACAGTCGAGTAGATTTTCCCCTTAATATATTTTCACGCGCAAATTCTACCGCATTCATCTACAGTGCAACCACGTTATATTAAGCAGAAAATGTACTCGATCGTACCAAAAGGTTGACATGGATGTTCTCAATCTATGACAAAATTGTTGTAATTAGTTTTGCATAAATTGCGCTACATAACTATTTATAAGTATGTCTCATTGTTTCCGCCATTTTCATGGGTCGGTGCTTCTTTGTCGCCTTATTTGTTCCACAAATGGCCTGACAATCCTTAAGAATTGAAAATGGTCTGGGGAATGAAGCATAGTTTCTGGCTAGAGTATCGTGTATATTCTTTCTGCAAAGCAAGAACATGGCGTTTACGCTGTGCACTGCTCTTGCCGTTTCCAGTCTTTCAGTGCTGAGCGATTCAAGCTCCACGCATTGTGCATGCTATCTATCGCATACTAATTGCAATGATGGCCATGAACTGCGGTATCTAGAAGCACATTATTATTGGCCAGATGAACAAGGGAATTTATTTAGGTTATTGAAACTGGCTAAATCGATACTAATCTCCGGCTGCGTGCTTGCTACACCGACAAGGGAAGTCACTTAACTTGGTCGGCCCTTTGAAATGAGACACGTATATTTAGGATCAGCTCGGAACGCTGATTCCATGTCCTTAGTTGCAAAGCATTCCTCTGAAGCGAGTTATGAGCTTGTTAGTATGTGTCATTGACATACAATTAAGTATGGAAAGAAGGCGTGTAGAGGAAAATCTGCCCAAAAAAGTGATGGAAAATTGAAATAACATCAAGATGGAGTCAAGATGGAGTAGAAATATCATCTACGTGTCACATTCAAAACTTGCTTACGATTACTTTCTTTTTCCTACGTACTGCAGTGCTTATGCTGACAGTTCAATGTTCAAGCCACCTACATCGAGCTTGCGTAAGCCTCTTACATCGTCTTCGACACTATTCGTGGTGCAAATACCAGGTCCATATCAGGGTTAGGTAGGTCTAGTTTGAAGAAAAGAAGTTTAATTATTGAGTTTATTGTGAATAACAATAAACAAAGCCTATCACTGGAAGAAAGGAGAAGCTGAGCAAAGGTTGAAATGCACAACAAAATCTAGAATTCGGAGAATATGAGCAAAGGTTGAAATGCACAACAAAAATCTAGAATTCAAGTCCGAGGAGGCCCGCTCCGCGGACAAAAGCCTGAACAAGGGCGAGGTGAGCCAAAGTCAGTAGCTGTGCGCCTCGAATACGTCTTATCAAGGCGTCCGCTTTTCGCATAACATGATATTCGTTAAAATGTCAAATGGGCCTGTCATGCAAAATACTAGCACATTGATGTTTGACCCATTGATACGTACAGTAAGCATAAACAAAAATCTACAAAGCATAAGAGCACCGTTTTGTAATTAGCAAGTAAACTAACCCCTGTGGTCCAAGTTTCAGCGAATTCTGAGGTTCCCAAATACAGGAACACCTAAGTGAGATGGTCGTTTTCAAACATGTTACTTTGTTTCAAAGGTAAGTTAACGACTTCTTTTTGCGCTTAATACAAAGAACTGCTATTTCTTTGCTCACAATAAGAATCCTACTTCAAGTGACCTCCTAATTAAGGAATTAAGAGCAAGCTAAAATCTCGTTTGTTCCATTTTTCTTTTTCAATATTTCAGGCTAGAAAAGACCAATCAGGCTCAAATCACTTTAATGTAAATTACGAGGCTTAGGCTATCGAATCAATCGAATATATATATATATATATATTTGTCGCCTTCCCTTGCGATTCACATAGTAGCGCAGACTTAGCACGTCACCGTATCCCAATATTTTCGCAGTATTTCACCAGTATTTTACATTCGCACAGGTCAGGAAAAACGATTATATCTTGCTCTTGAAGAAACGTTTCTATACGAAATTTCTGCTATATAGAGAGAAAGGTTAAGCAGTAACAAGGATATAGAAAGCGCAGTTATTTGATCTGTTTGAAGGTAAGTTAATGGGGTGTGGCACCACCCCTAAAAAGCTTTGGCAGCCACAGCTTTTAGTGCCACACATTAATTATATCAACAAAAAAACATTTCTAGCGAACGTTATTTATATGAATCGATAACCTAGACCTCTTAGATTTCATAGGAGTGATTTGAGCCTGATTCGTCTTCTTAGCTCTGATTGTGAGTAATATTTGGTGAAAGCACAGCATTGAAAGCGAATAATAGGAAAAACAAGATTTTGGTTGGCTTCTAATTCCAAAGTTAAAAGGTCTTTTGAAGCGAGATTTCTGAAATGAACAAAGAAGGAGTAGTGCTTTGTCTTGAGTGCAAAAACAGCTAGGTACTTTACCTTCGAAACAAAGAATCATGCTGGAAAATGGCGATTTCACTTAGGTGACCCAGTATCTTGAAACTTCAGAAATCGCTCAAACATTGCCTACAGGGGTTAACACATTGACGACCGCTTGACACACATGGTGTGTCAAGGCTTAACACACCATATGGTCGTTGAAATGGCTACTATTTTGTGTCAAACCCGACCCGGTGTTTTCTTTTATGCTGGATCCAGACACAACCTTTACTGTTTTTGCCGGCATTCCAGCGTTACTGTAGATATACTGTAGATGGAATTGTGCGTGATTTTATCTAGAAAATGTTGACTTTTCCGTGAAACGCCTTGGTCGTCAATGTGTTAATCGACATGCTAATTATGGATATAGCCTGTTATGTTTGACAGGGCCTTCAAGTAATGCTATCTTAGGTATATAGTTCAGGGGGGTCTCATTAAGACAGCAATAAGGGAGGGGGGGGGGGGTCGTAACCAGCGCGTATGCCATACTTCTTGCTTGACCCTGCCGGCAACGTATAGTTGGTCAAGGAATTGGCCATAAGTTGCCGGCAAATGTTGCCAGGGTCGGCGTTGTCGAGGTTGCTGTGATAGAGAGCGCGTAAGGTAGGGCTAGAAATATCCGGTTCATCGGTCACTATTCGTTAGACCATGAGATGAACACCGGATGAACCATTTGAACTGGATAACACCTGTCTAATACATAAAGGGTTGTTTCATATTGCATTCGCGGCAGCTACTGCAATTATGTGGGGGCGGGCAAATGATATCTATCGACTGACTGCCGTTGCTGCAGCGACTGTAGTATGAAACAACTCAGAGACATATGAGATCCTACAACGACTGGTAACGCCGGCGCCTGCACAGAAAAGATCAGAAATTTCACGACATCGTAATCCTACAGATGGTTGTGACTTTCAACAGAGGCCTCTTACTCACTGTTCGAGTTTCTAGCTCTCCAAATAGAAGCTTGCGAGAAGTCATACGATTATAATTTTTTTTACGAAAGCGCATACCAAATTTTGGCTTTTATGCTTTTGACGTGTTCTTTACGGACTTCAGCTCGGGTAGAAATGCAGATCAAAGGAAGCTTCGAGAACATTCTTTTGCAGGGCCCCATTTTGGTCCATTTTATTTATTTATTTATTTATTTATTTATTTATTTGAATACGCCACAGGCGCGCCATAGTGTCGGATTAGTAATCAACAGATTCTTGAAAAAAAATCAGTGTTAGAAATACACAAACACAGAGACAAGAAAGGTTTAACGCAGAGAAATAAAATAGCTTTTTTGAGACCATTCGCCAGTCTAGGTTTACACTAATGAATGATAGAACACAAGGACTAACTATTAGAAGCGCTGCCATAAAGGATATTCATATGAGTCTGCGCATGCCACCCTCGCTGACCAGCAAGCGACCAATATTCAAGGAGTATGACGGAGACTATGAAAAGGGGATGCTAGCGCAACAAACTAGGCAACCCTAGTACAACCGAACATACTGGATGAGCCACAAACTCAATAGGAAAACTGGAAATAAGCTCGGTAAAAAAATATATTCGGGCAGTCTCCTTAGGCTAGCCTTATGTACCAGGACGAAAAGAAAAATTAGACCTAGAACGACAAATATGTCTCAGTCGAATTAAACTGACACAACATCAAACCAAAGATCAAACAATACGCAATGACGTCTATCTTACACTCTTACAAAAGGCAGTACAGGCAAAAAAAGAGAAGAAGCTGGAACTCGATCATGCGTTGTCAACAAATACTGGACGACACAAGTTGAGTCCGCCGAGAAACGGGATCTACAAAGAAAACCGAGAAGAACAACTACAAACTAAAGAGAAAGCTAAACTCCCAAACTTATCGCAGATGAAAAAGACGTGGCAAGAAAGAAGATGTAAAGTAGTCAGCCGAATTCAACCACTTTCTGAAAAAAAAAGAAAAAATGGATTGAAATAAACGAAACACACACTTGTAAACGAGACCCTACATCTAAAAGTATTCAGACTCATCAATGCCTAACAAACTCAAAAAGTCGCATTCCAAGAGCTTTTTTTGAACAATTTTGAGTTAACAGAAGAGATGACAGAGTCAGGCAATTTCTGCATCCAACGTGCAGTACAGGCAAAAAAGGAGTTATAAAAAAGCTTGTTCAATTTTGTAGATCCTATTGAATCAGCACAGTAAAAATTAAACCTACCTGTACGTCCGTAGCAAGGCTTCCAAACCCAGAATTCACTAGGCAAAAGCTTAGTCTCAAGACGTAATATTCGGAAGGCAAGTATTAGATCAGCAACAACCCTTCGGTAAAGCAGGCTATGGAGCTTGAAGCGGGCCAACCTACTTCTATAGGACGGGAGGGCAGCGGGTAATCGTCGTTAGGCATAAGTCTATAGAAAAGGATACGAGTAAAAGAGTAGGTATTCATCCATATGCTGTTTGCCTTGATTCGTCTATCTTCGGAAAATAGAAATAAAACATTTTTTTGGTTTTTTATTGCGCCAGGTATCACAGCATGAAAATTTCCAAGTTTTTTGTTTTTTTTTTATTTGGAAATAAGGAGGAATCCCTCGTATTTGATATACCATGCAAGAAGGCTTGAGGAGCTTTTTCGATGGTATGTCACTTGCTTTATGAATTTACGGTATGCAAGATTGAGAGATACTCAAAAGATTCTGTCCGAGTTCTTCACAGCGCCACGCGAAGGGTTGCAAGAGACGAGCGGTAACTTGGCCATAATATCAGGCGAAGGTCGCTTATGTAAGTGACGTTCAATTTGCAGCCAGCTTGTTGATCGAAACAAAAAAAAATATCAAAATGTGATCAAAATCAAGCTGTCTCATTATCTTCCGTTCTCAGACAATTGCTGCAGCGGACCAGTCAACCAACTGAGTTTCGCTGCTGAGCCGCTGCACCTATATCTCAGCCTTATGCAACAGGCCCAGCAGCGGCCCATAGGTGTGAGCTGGCGACCCGCGCACATAGTTGGTGCCATGCTGACGGTGACCCGCACGCCTACTCAGGCACTTGCTGCGGCCGAAAGTTATTAGTTAAAATAATTTTTGAATTTTTTTCAAAAATGCGATTAAAGCCTTATAAAAGGCTCCAATCAGCCTTATAAATAAAAATTTTTTGGAGGGGCCCCGCGAAAAATTTGAGAAGCGTACCAAAAGATTTTTCTGGATGCGTGGCTAACGCCGGAAGGGTTACTCGCGTGGAATACGACACAGTGGAAGGGATGCCATCGGAGCTTGGAGAGGAGTGACAGTTGCCTTTTGAGCTGGCAACAGGTTTTCTCACGCTGACCGTTGATGGGGTTTCTAATAATCTCGTGTAGCTCGATTGATACTTTGAATGCAGGGAACGACTTTCCCCAATCTTGATTTCATGGGTTGTATCCACATTTGACCCGTGCATGCAAGTGCGGCCCAGCGGAAACCCACCCCAGGATGGCTCTGTGCTATGCTAGCGTGGGTCAACAAAGGAAAAGAGATAGTGAAATACAGGCTGCCCGCTCGTCTCGGTGACAGGGTCGCTGCATTCGCTGGAACCGTTGCTGGCCCGCTCTAGCATGGGAGGGCGAGCCCCGGCATGGGTTTTCGCCCAGCCGGCCATGAGCGCGTGGGTGGCAACAAAAAATGTCTGAGTTTAGCCTAATAGTTCAAAGATATGAACGGGTATAAGCGTTAGACCTTAAAAACTTTTTTGGAATGCTTGCCCTGTCTTGTTTTGCGGTCCTGAAAGTTTGAGGAAATGGAGCGGGATTTCTCCCCACACCCAAATTTCTTTTTACATTGTCAAAATGAATTTGCTCAAAATCCAAAATTCATTCAGTTCTATCGAAAAAAGCCAGGAGTCTGCACGATTTGGTAACATTCTGGGTTTCTTTCAAAAACTTCGCGATACACCTCAAAGGGGAGAGGAGGGGTGCGCACGCAGCCTCAGATCTCCTCGCATGCGTCCGGTGATGTGTTGTTTCATAAACACGTTGGATTTCTAGTTTTGCAGTACCTACAGCTGTTGTGGATCAAGATGTAATCCGTGAGATTTTCACCCAAATTTCCAATCGATCATCAAAGCGAAGGTCGGTCTTTTTCTGCAGCCGAGAGCTGTAAAGGATATCCGTCGACGGCCATCCCGTTTCGTGCATTCCGACCACCGCGGGCGTGCCTTTTTGGAGCCTTTCCAGCATTACGTACCTGTAGCGCGCAGGCGCTTTCCAACTCGTAGCATACCTGACCTATAACCTCTTCTATTATATATACAAAATCGTTGTGCTTATTCAAAAATGTGAAATTGCTGGAAAGCGTGCTGGTCTCGCAGCGACCGAGTCTGCAAATTTAGCACCTTTAGACTCATTGGTTGGGTGGAACGAACACCTTAACTAGGCACCGCCTCCGCGGACTACTGCTCAGATAATCGCGGGGGGGCAGGCGGACCACAAACTTGCGCTTTTTTGCAAGCGGTCAGCAAAATCTTGGGACGTCGCCAAACCTTCAGCAGGCGGCACTTCTGTTACGGTCGCATATTCTGCCAGCGGGCAATACAGCATTTTTTGCAAGCGCTCGGCAAATAATTTCTTTCATCGAGCGCTGGTCAAACTCAAAGCAAGCGCTCGGACTCTTTGTACACAGTTTCGGGCGCACGCCAAGAAAAGGTGAGACTCTAATCAGATAATCGCCGTGGGCAGGCGGCCATGCGATTCATGGGCGGGCGGGCACCGGAAAAATAGTTCGCTGATTTCTTGCGGTCCGCTTGCAGATATTTGGAGAATTTTTAGCGAAATTTTAGACGAATGCTTGGAGAACAACCGCGGTTTCCTTATAGATTAGCTGCGGCGCAGTGGCCGCATTCTCGCGGACTTTCCGCGAGAATATGCAAGATTTTCGAGGGCCGCACGGTCCTTTGTGGAGGACGGCGCAGCCCCCAGGCTTCCCGCTGAGAGAAAGTACCTCAAACTTGAGTAATTAAGCCATCGATGACACCTCTGCCATGTAGAGTTTCGCCTTTTCTCGGCGTACGCCCGAAACTGCTTAGAAACCGTCCGAGCGCCAGCTGAAAATTTGACCAGCGCTCGCTGAAAGAGACTATTTGACGAGCGCGTGCAGAAAATTCTGTGTTGCTGCCCGCTGGCAGAACATTAGACAGTATAGGAAGTACCGCTCGCTGAAGGTTAGGCCACGCCCCAAAATTCTGCTGACCGCTTGCAGAAAAGCGCGAGATTGCGGACCGCCTGCCCCGGTGATTATCTGAGTATGTGGCATCATAGAAAGACCGCAATAGTTTTCCAAGCGTTCGTCTGAAAATTGGCCAAAATTACTTCAAATCTCTGCAAACGGACCGCGAGAAATCAGCGAACTATTTTTCCGGTGCCCGCTTGCTCAAAATTCGCATGGCCGCCTGCCCCCGGCGATTATCTGAGTGGTCCCAACACGATGCAGAATAGTAGGACGAAAGGACCAGCGGCCCGCGGAGGCGTAATTGAGGTGTTGGTTCCTTTAGCCTTAATGGTTCATTAGTCGTTTTTCTTCGTTTTTTTTTTCCTTTTCATTTCAAGTACTTACTAGTCCTCGTCTCCATGTGAGGCCATCGCCTCGGGAGAATAAAGAATGAGTTTTCCTCATAAGAGCAGCGGTGGATATCATGGCTTTGATTGGGAGTGCATATTTCTTCAAAGTTTCACAACGACTCGCCATTTTTGAGGGAGACTACAAAAATGGTTTTTCAGCACTCCTTCATTAGGAGGGAGATCATGTAGGAATAAACATTTGTGTGGTCTCACCTAAGAGAACGCCTTAATAGCCACCACTGCATATCGGAAGACTCACTCTTTCTCCTAACTTTGCCCGGGGCGATGGTTTATGATCCTGGCTTTTCAGTATTTTTCTAAATAGAACCCAAGGATGCTTTGTTAATACAAATTTGGAGGCTCTATCATCGAGTGAATCCGGAAGAAACGGAGAACGAGCAAGTGTCTGAGATGGGAAAAAAAAGAAGGAAAAAGGACTAGAAATGCTTTGATAAACGAGATGTCATAGGACCAGGATGCTTTGAGCTGGAAAGTCCGCGTGCTGCAGATACTGTAAAGCTGGAAAGGCTCCAAAAACGCGCGCCAGCAGTGGTGTGAATGCACGAGACGGGCTGGTCGTCGACGGATCTTTGACAAGACCTTTTTTTAGTGATTTTCTATTCAACGTGTTCGATGCATTTTCGATTCATCGATTCGAATTTGATGCTGATTGCCGCAAGATGTTACCTGTATTGAAGAGTAGCAGGGTCGTTTCTGATGTAGACAAAGCTACGCTAGCGCTGAGACACCGCTTTCAACTGGTGTCGCAGGTATGATTCACGGCAGTATCTCCCCCGCTTCTTATTTTTATTTCTAGCGAGTAGGGCGATGTCGGCAACTGCAAAGTATCAGATTCAGCACAGTGGAAGCCCTGCTGAGTAGCTCACATAGGCAAAGTGATGTGGTTGTTGTTGGAATGCTTACACAACAGAAGGCATGTTCTTATCACTTGCGCCATAAGTGACTTATCTAATTATCATTTACCAGTGCGTCACCTCTGCTTCGCAGAGGCTCGCACTGGCTCTACTACCCATGTGCCTTACTCATTCTCGTAATATCGTGGTACTGAAACTCACCGCGCTAAGCCGACTACCACGAATAAAATGTAAACAACTACTCATTTAGAAACCTTTTTCACGTGAGATCGGTGATTTCGCGTGGATGAAACTTTTCGCAGGAAGACAAACACAAATTTCAATAGGTTTTTGAATTTGTCATTGCTTGATAGTCACCATAAAGGCAATAGTCATCGTGTGCTACATCTCTGTGCAAAAATCTTCTCAAAAGCTTGGCTAGAACCTTCGCAAATTGACCATTCACGCAACCAATTCTTTTTGGCGCCGTTTTCGTTATGTAGTAAACTTTTGACCACTTTTTGGGCCAAAGTCCATTGCTTGCACATCTGCTTACCAAACACATTCACGACTTTGCAAAAAGTGGTGATACGGACCAAATTTTGAGAGATAGAAGCCAGGTGGATCCGCTTGGCGCGCAATTTCTGAGGGATCCACTCAACGAATCTGCTCGTGCTTCTGCATGTTGGACTTTCCTGAGGATAGCATGCGCCATGCAAAATTTGGGTTTAGAACGCTGGCTGGAACACGCTGCACGAATTTCGTAACAGACGGACACACACACACACACACACAAAAACACGTAAACAACCCTTAGCCCGTTATTATAAGGTCTTGATATTTCAGAGTCACTGCTTCCACATAGAAGATCTGACTGGTTCCGTGCAAGCAAAATTTGATGAAGATACCAAATTTCAGCTGGGCATTTTTACAGAAGGAAGCGTTGCCATTTTTCAGGTAACGAGCCTTCATAACTGCGACTCATTATCAAGCCTATTTATACTTTAGGGCACCTACGAAGCTTCTTTGTTCGATGTTCGAGAAGTTGCATCCGTACCTATAGAAAGTGCTATAGATACGCGCAGTACTTTTGGAAACGTAAATTGGTTCGGGGGCGATGATGCGGTATGACCAAGACTCTAAGTTCATTTTCTTCCAAAGATCCTGGTTCAGATAGCATTCCGATGTAACCCAAAACTCTGCGTTGCCGAACGTAGTGATCCAAATGCGCAGATCGTTCTTCTTTCGGATGTTCACTTAGACGATTTCAAAGTGCTTCAAATGTTTTCATAGAATTGTGCCTATTCCTAGTCGTTTTTAGGTTATGAAGGCTGTGTATCATATGCTAAGCGGATTTTCTAACGATCCCCCGCTTGCCTTCATATTCTGTGGGAACTTTTGTTCGAAACCAAGGCAAAGGGACACCATGGATATTCTTCACAAAGGTTTTCAGAGGTCACTTTTGTGTTTGTCAGTTTCATGTACAGGAAACTTTTTGTTCTTTTGCTTTCCTTTACTTATGTCCCTTTGATTAGACATAGAATGATATGTAGGCATTGTAAAATTGCCCACGCCGTGAAGTACTATACTTAGACACTCGCTGCGGCGGCGCGCGCCTTATGCGTGCAGCCCCTCACCTCCCCCGCCGCCGGCCGTCAATTGGCGCGCGCGCCGTGAGTAGATGGGACGCGCGCCACACGATAATGGCACGCCGCTCGCACGGTATGAACATTGCCATTCGCATTTAAAGCACTGCGAATCACGGTGAATCTGTAGTAGATGACAACCTTCAATTTCAGGCGAACAATGGCTTGAATTTCAAATATGAACTTGAAGTTCCCAAATCTTGAATTTGAATATTCAGATTTCACAAATCCAAGAATTCAAATTTCCAAATTTGAATTCAAACTCGGCACCTACTCGCAGTGCTTATGAAGACTGACTCTCAGTGGAAGAACTAGAAGAATCCCACTTGTGTTAATGAGACAACTCCATTGCGAAACAGCGATAATCTTAATGAATTTGCGATAAAGCACCCAAAACACGGCGTCGTACTTCACGCAGGTATCGCTTGTGCTTACAGCGTGTGAGAATGCGGAAGATATCATGGCACGCCGCTCACTGATAAATTGCGCGCCGCTCGCACTCTCAACTACTCAGACAATCACAGGCTCTCAGCGGGCCCCACCAAAAGCGTCGTTGCCTTATCGCAGCCACTGTCGCTTCCCGCTGAGAGCTTTGTCGGAGCTTTGTCGGAGTTTGTCGGAGCGGGCTCGCTGCCCGCTGAGCCCGCTCCGACAAGCTCCGACAAAACTCCGACAAAGCTCTCAGCGGGAAGCGACAGTGAGGCGATGAGGCCACCGCGCTTTTGGTGGGTCTAGGCGGTGGCTTTGTGGCTGCCGGCTGAGAGCATTTGATTGTCTGAGTAGGGCGCGCCTTTCGCAATACAGTGCTATAATGGCGCGCGCGCCGCCGCGGCGAGTGTCGAGTAGGCGCGCCGCTCGCACTGCAGCCTCGACTGTGGCGCGCCGCTCGCACGGCAGCCTCAAATAGGGCGCGCCGCTCGCAAGGCAGCCTCAAATAGGGCGCGTCGCTCGCACTGTAGCGCTATTATGGCGCGCCCGCCGCCGCAGCGAGTGTCTGAGTATGTCGCCGAACTGGGTCGGTTGCGCGGATTTCTGTAGAAGCTCACCTCCATATGCAAGGATGCGTATTCTGCGAATGACCGCGTGGGACGCCTCCTTTTGGCGACATATATGTAAGACCTCTTCCTCGTTATGGTCTTGATTCTATCAAAGGTTTCATCAGCTGCACGCTTGCTATGACGCTGAAATACATGTTATTAACGAATGGAAGAAAAATTCAACAAAGATTATGACCAGCTCAAAAAAAAAACGCGCGATTCATTGTGCAATAGTCAGGGCTGAGATCCCTAAGACCCTAAACTATCTCGTTTCCGGGTATTTGGGGTCATCGTAGATTTATGTCTGAAATATGTTTTCAGACAAAATGCCTACTTTGGCTTCCAAAGCAAAATTTACTCTTTTGGGGTGGACTTCCTTTCGGCATTCACACAAAGCCATCATTGTACTAAATTGCGACCTGAACTCAACGTTGCTTTCATTTTGAGCAGAAAAAGAGAGAAATGGCAAGGGGAAGCGACGCAAAAAGGCATTCTTGATTGAAAGTGAGCATCTTTGTGTCACTGTCACGAGGTCAGTATGATTAAGGACCAAAGGTAGGATAAAAGATATGGAAAACTGGCATGAGAAACACACAAACATGTGGATAAATCAGAAGAAAACATGCTACAAAAAAATTGGCATACATGATTCCAAGCAATCTAGAAATAGAAAAAAAGATGAAACAGCAGAGTAAGAGTAAGGTAGTAGACACTTTGTATGAATAGATAAACAAGGAAGAACGATAACAAAACAAACATAAACAAGGAAGGACGATAATCTGCAAAAACAAAACAAACATAAAAGGAAAAACGATAGTCTGCAAAAGACTCTGCATTTGTGCGCAAAAAAAACGTCCCTCTTCACTTACAAGGGAATGGTCAGAAATCGAAGTGGCCAATTCAAGCAAGCTGCATGTCATTCGATGCAGCATAAAACGCTGATTCTAAATCTGTCTTCCTTATCTGCAGAGCGCTTTTGTAGGCGAAGTCATAAGCCGTTAAATGTCATCATTCTGCTAAGAAATTGTGCGTGTAAAGGTCAAACTTGGCCGTACAAAGCCATTCTCGGCTCAGTATTGAACCAAAACGTGTAACTAGGTCAGTTTATATGGCTCGTACCTAATGGGAGCCAAAAGAGCAGCGATCTGCCTAATTTCGCAGTTTTTGTGGACGATTTTTCCGCAGTAAAGCTGCTCATAACTTCGCCCACAAAGGCGCTCTGCAGATACGGAAGACACATTTGAAATCAGCATTCTATGCTGAATCGATTGGTATGCAACTTGTATGGATTGGCCACTTCGACTTCTGACCATTCCCTTGTTAGATACTAAGTACGTGATGCTACAGAAAGTCCATGCGCGCCGCCTGCGAACATGTATTGTCTGAGTATAGTCCTTCACCCCTCGCTATGAACACTAAGGGCCGCATGCACTAACCTCCCCGCGGGGAGGGGATCGCAGCTCAAAAGAAAGCTTTATATTTCGAAACTTTAGATACCTGGATTTCACGTTGTGTACCTATCCGTAAGTATTCATACTACCCTTCACTATGAACATGTTGAAGAGGAGCGAGAAGCTGTACAGACCACATTTTCCAGCTTTTGGATCCGTGATGATCCCCGGCACTTTTCTTCAAAGTCATTTTTCTTTCTCCGAAATTAACGAATAACCTCCAAAGTTGTGCGTATTATCTAACCCGACAGTGCTAAGCATGATGCTGATAAGAACAAATGGTTTTTGAAGTAATGAAATTTTCGATGATCCACAGGTCGAAATTTGAGGTTTACCGAAAAATTCGACTTTTCAAAAACTCATTGTTCTCATCAGCAACATGCTTAGCACTGTTGTGTTAGATATTCAGTACAACTTTGGAAGGTTTTCGTTAACTTCGGAGAAAGAAAAATGACTTTGAAGAAAAGCGCCGGGGATCATCAGGGATCATACAAAAGCTGGAAAATGCGGTTCGTACAGCTTCTCGCTCCTCTTCAACATGTTCATAGTAAAAGGTAGTAGGAATACTTACGGATAGGCACACAATGTGAAATCCAGGTATCTGGAGTTTCGAAATATAAAGCTTTCTTTTAAGCTGCGATCCCCTCCCCGCGGGGAGGTTAGTGCATGCGGCCCTAAGTGCGGCTGGAAACGTAAGTCCCGACGCGATAGAAGCTATTCATAAGTGATAGTGAGCACGCACCTCCATTCAAAGTACCTTTATAATGTTTTGAAGACACTTTCGGCCACAACGTAATGTGTAATGCTGGTACAACATGGATGTTGACCGAAAAATTCATGAGCGAATGAGAACGCCCACAGTGCTTCGCGACACTGCTTGCCTACGCTGATGTTCATGGCACAGCTCATGCAATTAGGTTTTCCAAGACCTATATCTTGCTTCAAACACTTTAGACCTTCATGTCACTTTAGGAACCTTTCAAAAAAGTCAAAAACATTCGTGAATCCTGGCCGGTTCATACTTAAACAAGAATCAGAAGAGTTTTGAGTTTAGATAGATCCAAGCGTAGTGATGTATCTTTTGTGCGGTAGCTGCGACTCGACCACAATCCTTAACCGGAATCTTCATTAGCACCCATACCATGGTTGCTGCTTCTGTATCGTCCTTGATCTTAAATGAGGGCGTCAAAAGCTGACTATGCTAGTATCGTCTCTTTGAGCAGCAACCAAGATGTTATAACTTTTTATTCAACCGGCCAACGTTTCGGCTTTTTCGCCTCGTCAGAGCCTGGCTATGCTAGATTCTGAAGATTGTGTGAACCTTGGGTGGGGAAAGATATGCACACTAGAGCTTGTTTCGTACACCCGAGTAGCAGTCTCACGATTGAGAAAGGATGCATCATTCAGGCTCGCAAATCAACTGAATGATTTTGCTGACTCATTCTCGTCGACTCATTTTGTATTTGTGCCTGGTCCCGATGATCCAAGTTTCAATATGGTAAGTTCTCAAAGCTTATTTAGAAGATGAATATAGCTTCTTTGAGTTACCTTTTTCATTCCAGGTTCTCCCTCGGCCGCATCTTCCTGGAGTGTTGTTCAAATATCTTGAACAAATTCCTAATTGTTTGTTTGTCACCAATCCGGTTCGGATGCAATACGCCAGTCAGGAAATAGTTGTTTTACGAAATGATTTGGTTGAGAAGATGTGCAGGTGGAAATTGTAATGTCCTATCTTTGAGTATTTAGATCATTTGCAGGCACGCTGTGAACACTGTTTCTGCGCAAAATATCTCCAAAAGTTTTGCAAGAACTATTTTAAGTCAGGTAATAGCTCGGATCCACATTCTTAACAATTCTAGCTCCTAGTGTCAACTTCTAGGCTCATCTTTCACCTTTGCCGGCTCATGTAGCCCCCGTTTTATGGGAGTTCGATCATGTAATGACTGTCCACCCTATACCAGATCTTTTAGTTGTCGCTGATCAGTTCAATTCCTTTGCGGAGACACTAGCAGGTAAAACACATTTTTTACCTTTCTCACGGTCCCTCGATGCGGCAGTTTTTCGCAGTTATGAAGAACTAGCTGGCTTACCCGGCTCCGCCGTATGTTCCGAATAGAAAATGATCACCCCACGGGGGTGATCAGCATGCTCGATTACCCCCCTGTGCCCACTCCCAGCCCCGTACAAATTTTGCAAAAAATCGATAAAATCGATATCGATCGATGACGAAAAGTAGCCCATGACACCCGCCGGGGCCCGAAGTGTATGTGTGCCAAGTTTGGTCCGGATCGTTTGAGAAATGGAATTTTCTATTCGGAACATACGTACAGACAGACATACAACAGACATACATACAGACAAACAGACATTCAGCTTTATATATAAGATGAAGAAATGATAAATGTAGTAAGTATAGTGATTAGTGTCGTCGATTCGTTAAAGGCAGCGGCTCGGCAGAATGACAACTTTGGGATATTCATCGTTCTCGGTTCCCCTAGATGAGCTAAGTCCAAAAGTGTGCTTTGCAGCTTCAAAAGTTATCAAAAGCCCGCTTCCTCTGACATGAAAAGTGCTGTTTGGTAGGTCGCCAAAGTGGCTGCCGGAGCCAATAATACAATTGCCGCCGAGATGTCCACTCATGAGGCAATCGCGTTCTAAAGGGCAGGCTTACGCAGTCCGCCCAAACAGCACTTTTCACTTTTCTGGAAAAGCGGGTCATTGATAACTTTTGAAGCAGCAAAGCACAGTCTTGGGCTTAGCTCATCCAGGGGAACCGAAAACGATAAATACCCCAAGGTTGTCATTCTGCCAAGCCGCTGCCTTTAATGGCGGTGGCTCGGCAAAATGGAACATCTCGAAATTTTGATATGTAAGGTTGCTTGCACCCCAAGCAAGAATAGTGCCGCTCCGAGCGAATGGCATGCTGTCCCTGCTTAGAAAACTCCCCCAGATCCGTACAAACAAACCAGTCTTACACGCACTTGGACGAGCTTGCGATTCCCCTCTCACTGTTAGAGGAGGCATGCCGCTAATCATAACCACTCTGTGTCTCTAACCATGGCGGGTATCGTCCCACTCGTCCAAATCCAAAATGGGGAGCCTTGAAAAATGCTAGTTTTTTGCCATTTTTGCGCTCTTCAAGGTGGATTTTCGGATTCTGCGCGTTGAATTACCCCAGGTAAGCGGAAAAATTGCAGGTCGAGAAATTGCCGAGCCACCGCCTTTGAGCTCTCATGACCCCCCCCCCTGCACCCTGCGATTTCCCTTCCATTGTCAGATCGCGCACGTCGCAGTGCTCTAAGCGTAAGGATTCCGAACGACCCCGCGTCTTCGCCAAGGCGGGCTTTGAGTCCACTCATCCATGTTTGAAATTGATGGAAACTTTGGAAAATGCTCGTTTTAGCCAATTTCGTGCTTTCCAAGGTAGGCATTCGAAATCAGCGCAGCGGATTATCCAAAATAAGCGAGAAGTTGCCGAGCCACTGTGTTTAACCGTTTTTAACCGCAAGGAGAGAGGGAGGGGGGTCAAGAAGGCTGTGCCACTATAGGGCAACTTTAACACTGGGAGCTAACACAACACGTCGCGTTCGACGTTTATTGTGATGAAGAAGCTTACAACAGGAGAGCCCCGTTGACCCCGAACCCGCCCGCTTTACTGCGGAATGATTGATGTATAGGTCGGTTCGGCCGCAATACGTAGCAAATGGCCGAACAAAGGCGGACGGTACGATCGGCGCGAATTTTTCGCGAAGCGACGCCGCAACGTACTTCAGCTCTTACAACAGCAGCGCTCCTGTCGCAGTCTTACGTATATTTGGGTCATGTATCTGCCTCCACCCACACCCTCTGTTTTCGCCGCCGGTAATCTTTAATGTCGGAGAGTTTTAGAGGCCCCATTGAACGCGGCGTGTGCGGAAAAGCGACCGCCGCGCGGCGTACCTTCTGACGTGCAGCCGGTCAAGAAGGCTCGCTCGTTGAAGTATGACGCTCTGATTAATTAACGTTGTGGCGCAGTCATCGCATTTTCGAGTCGGCGGGCACTTTCATAATCGCGATATTGCAGCATGCGTTCAGATTTGAAGTGCAATGTTCAACAGACAACGTTAACACCTGAGATTTATATTGAGTAACCTATTGAGTAACCTCATACCAATCTGGTCATTGTCCAATTTGCAGACACTGTTGTTTGCAACCCGGGATCGTTTTCGAAGAATTCTTTTGGGTTCCATGTGTATTTCCCATTTGAGAGGAAGATTGAGGATAGTACTATCAACTTGATTGAACGATAGTTTACAACAATCCTAGCCAAACTCCTCCGGTTAGTTTTCCGGGAAGCTTCTCGAGTTCTTCAAGGCATGAAACTGATCTGTATGTAATTTTCTGTATTTTCTTCCTTTTGAAAAAGTCCTGCGATTGCCGTTGTTTGTTGGGTTTCAATACTCATGAACTTTTTTTTTCACCGTGTTATGGTCTTGATTTTCTATTTTGTATTGTACTGTGAATGCAGATTTTTGCTCATTTTGTTGACTTTTTTCACCTCAATAAAGACTGCATCTTGCCTGCCATACCTACTCAGCTCTCAAGTGAATGCACATTTTGCTCATTTTGTCGACTTCTTCAATCTCAATAAAAGCTGTTTTGTTCGGTACTAGCTGCAGTCCCCGGTCCCGCCCGGGCCGAGAGTCCAGAATGGCCCAGCATAGGGTGTGCCACTATAGGGCAACTTATAACTGGGAGATAACACAACACGTCGCTATGAACGTTTATTGTGACACTGAGGAAGCTTACAACAGAAGAGCCCCGTTGACCCCCGAACCCGCCCGCTTTACTGCGGGATGATTAATGTATAGGTCGGTTCGGCCACAATACGTGTACTTTATTTTAATGGGCTTGCAAATTGTAATGACTGAAGTTACATTAGAATTTTGTTCATAATATTTCCGAAAATGATTTTAAACTGGCGGGAAAGTAGATAAAGGTTTGTTGAAAAATAGAAAAATAATCATGACTGCATACATATTTTTTTTGGTATCTGAACTTACCTGCACCTTCCGTGAATAGTCAGTTGACAACAGAAAAGTAGTATCAAGATCTAGAATTGTGGATAGGCATGAGAAATTTTTTTTTCTAAGCTAGTGAGACGAGGTCAATTTCTGTTTCCAAACTAATTTTTTTTAAAGTATTTCTTCCAAAATCGCTCAGTATGCAAAATCCTCAATCTACTTTTTAGTTTTGATTAAGTTGGGTAAGACTGAGTGGCATTACAGAAAACCAAGAAAAATGTTAAGAGCATGTTTTTTCAAAAATTTCCTGATTGAGAAGTTTGAATTAAGCATTTCCGTCTTTCACCTTGAAAATTGATGTTTACTGTTCACCACGGAGCTGTTTACTGTTCACCAAACAGCTCAGTCTTATGTGAGCGCACGAACCTTCAAAGGACGAGTAAGCGCTTAATCTTTTTTCTTGCACATGTCAGGTTAAAGGTCTGCAGGTCCTTTACCTGATGTGTAGCGGGCTTACATACGTTACTATAATGTTTATTATGAATAATTATTTACAAAAGGGGGAAAGAGGAAGGGGGAAGGCAACCGGCTGCTGCCGGCGGCCGAGGCGTCACTGCCAGAGGTTGGCTGTCTTCGGCCAACCTCCTTCTCGAGCAGCTGTTGTAGCTAGCTGCGTCCCGACAGCCGATGCACCAGAATTGTGCCACTATAGGGCAACTTATAACTGGGAGATAACACAACACGTCGCTATGAACGTTTATTGTGACACTGAGGAAGCTTACAACAGAAGAGCCCCGTTGACCCCCGAACCCGCCCGCTTTACTGCGGGATGATCAATGTATAGGTCGGTTCGGCCACAATACGTAGCAAATGGCCGAACATAGGGTGTGCTTTAAGATGTATACTTACCAGTCCTCCACTTTCTTCAGTTCATATCTTCTGTTACTCTCTTGCTTCACCTCCATGTCAGTTCCAGCGCTCGTGTAGTATCCATGGTGAATAGTCTTCATTCTTGACCGGCTCGCTTCATGACACCGCATGCTCTTCACCAAAATGTAAATGATCTCTAGCACCCCTTACTACTCAACTTGGAGAAATGATTGGTATAGCCTTCATTTTCCTAGATTTTAGTAAACAAAATCAATAAGTCGATAGAAGGACCCAGCGAGTTGTCGCGAAAAGTAGCCTATCTTCTGCGCCGTGGCTTGTTTATAGGGGAACAAAATTCGGTTCAGGTACAAAGCTTCTTCGGTTCACATACAAAGGAGTCTATAAGCCACAAACATCCTTACAAACAAAGGTACAGTGTTTGAGTTTTATATATATATATATATAGATAACCGTGTCAGCTTCTAAGTGACTCACGAGCAAGTGGTGCTATGTATTGACTAGCAATTACTGGATTGCGCGTGAGCTGCTGTCCGCATTTAGTGATTTTTGCACGAGAAGCGGAGACTCTAGAGAAGTACAGGGTGTCCCAAAAGTTTTCAAGCCTAGTATTTTTTCAGCTGCAACTGTACGAAGCAACATTGACATATGAAATATAGAAGGAATCTTGTGAAGAACCTACAAAATAACAAAGTATACTCAGATTTCGAAAAATCGTCATTTGGCCTTCACATAAGCCCTCACACTCTTGCGGAACGCATGCACAATGGCAGACAGGTAGTTGACGTCGAGAATGTCTTACACCTTCTGAAGCAAGTGTTCCCTATCGCCAAAAACTTAGTGTAGAACAGAGCAAGCCTTGCTGTCCATCACTGATCACAGAGAAAAGTCAAACAGATTTTGAGCCAACAATTAAAAGGACGTTGATCTAGGAAGCGTGAGATTGTGAGATTTAACAAAAGTGTCATAATGTAGCAATCAAGTTCTTGAGAACATCAAGAGAACAGCAATTATGGTGTATATAGATTGACTTTGGAATGATATTTCAGTAAGAAATGCAGAGGTTACAGCCATAATTAGTGACTCAAACTGAATTGGTGCTGGAGTTTTCAGCTTTCTCGGGTTTTTGTTTCCGAGAACTTCTTTTCTTATTGGCACGGCACTACTTTGAGTGTTCGTATCTTGATCTCACGCTAAGGAACAAAACTACTGATTAGTTTTGCACTGTAAACGTAGGGTGAAACTAGCTCTACAATTTACACTTCAAGATTCCGCAAATGCTTCAAAGGCAAAAAAGCTATAGATGTTTGAATAAAGGGTACGTTTACACTGGGTAGTCCTCAAATAGTAATACTATTTGCTTCAAGAACAATATCTTGAGAATGTTCAGCTCAAACGATTTGATTTTCTTGAGGAATACTGAAAACTGGACGAAGTATTCATACGCAAAATTTGACTGATAAGCGAGGAATACCAACAAAGTTGGTATTCCTCGCTTATCAGTCATTACGTTGGAAAGTTATGCTCAAAGACTTTTGGAACACCCTGTAATATAGCATACAGAAGCATGTTTTCTATATCAAAGCCTGTCATAATAGAGATGAAATGAAAAGTGACTGTAGGTGTCAAGAAGTTACAAAGTAACTGGTGAGAGCTTTGCTTTTTAACGTCCATTTTCTTTTAGTAGGTTAGTCTTCAGTTTCATCTCTTAAATTGATCGATTTCACGTGCGAAAGGTGCTTCGAGTGTTTTGCTTTTAATTCAGTCGAGTATGAATGCTGCTATGTCTGTCTGAGGTCTATAGAGCATTGAAAGTGCGTTCAAATGGCTCCCAGTAGTGAATGTGATAGGTTACTCTCCCAAAGTTCTCCCGCAAAATATAGCACGAAAACTTTCCACCTGAATTGCTGCATAATTGTAAACCTCCGTTGAAGTGCTTTGTAGTTTTCCTAAGAGAAAGTGCGGCTCAATATGCGCAAAACGCAGGCGACTTTAAACGTTATTACTCAAACACTCGCCTTTGACGACCGCAGGTGAAACGGAGTTCGACTCATTGAAAACATGCGGAACACCTCCGTTACCGTCGGGCAATCCGGATATTGGTTCGGGACAAGACTGCTGCAGAAATGCCGGTCGAGCAGTTTTCACCTGCGTTTGGTTCGGGATTTGCCTGCGGCACATTTTCCGGTCAAACGCAGGCGAAACGCCGGTTGAATGCGGGAGTACCGAAGCGGCATGGGCAGGGTCCGGCACGAGTCAGTTTCTAGAGTTTCTGAAAACAAAGTCTCCCCTGACTTTCGGAAGTTTTCGGAAGTCTCCTTTGACCTACCTGCTTAGGAGGAGATGAAAACAAGAAAGATCTACAAGTTTGAAAGAAAAAATGTAAGATAAGAGTGAAAATCCAAATTGGAGCTGAATACTACGCATCACAAGAGTTTGGCATTGGAGCGCGATATTTAACAAAGCCATCATGAAGAAATGAAGGCAAAAAACAAGGGAAAGGTAATGATATGAAAATGTTCCTATGCTTAGGAATAGATTCTTGACCGGGGCATCCGTCCATGCTAAAAAGATTCGAAACTTATGTGAAGTGACGAAAATATTGCTCCAGACGATCTCAGATCGTCTGGTGGCCGTCTGGAGACGATCTAATTTTGGAAAAGGTATTATCTCACATAAGTTTTCACCTTTTTGCATAATTCTTTTGCAAATAGTACAGTTCAGTTTTGGTGTCATATGGTTCTTTGTGCGCTATAAACAAGCAATTTGTTTATTTTAGCCTTGCTTTCAAATCGCGCGCACTTTTCGCTATACACGATTGAGCATGTCAATCGTGCTATAACCTGTCCGAAAAGTTTGTGTTTGACTAAATTGCGCTTATTCTTGGTGCCTGGCCCCGGCTCGTCAAGAACGATATCTCTTTTGCTTTTCGCTTCAAAAAACGAAGTCCAGCCTGCTTCCAGACGATCTGTGCCGGGCCCTGGGCATGGGGCGTGAATCTAGACGTAGAGCACTTTTCAGCATTGTTTGAATTTCCTACATACATTCTTTACACTCATCTTTACTGAGCAAACAACAGAGACTGAATCGACACAGATTTATTCATCTCAGTCAACTCAACGACAAAGTCAGAACAGATAACAATACTCTCAGCAACAGAATCTCAGCAGCAAGATTTTACATCACTGAGCATAAACAGAAAAACAATCAGTCTTCCTGGCAAGTCCCGGAAGTCCGTCTTTTCGATTGTCGTGCCTTCTTGGATCGTCACTTTTTTTTCTAGATTGAAAAAGAACGAACATCACAGCTCTGAAGATTGGAGGTAAACTTACCTTGGGGGGCATGAGCGTCAACCGGGCTGCATCAAACTCGTAATCGTGTATAAGCGACTCCCAAACTTTAACGAGGCGGAGCTGCGCCATCGCTTCTTGCGTCGCGGTTGCCCTGTGCTGAAGCGTACCTGATCCATTGATCTTCGTTGATCATCACAGATCCGCCTCGCCACAGTTGGGGAGTCGACAATACGTCGGCTCTGAAAACAAACGTATCGTCTTTTCCCTGAGATAGATGGGGCGTCTCGCTGCACAAGTCCGCAAATGTCCGTAATGGATATGGTATTGGCCCCTGCGCAAAATCGATAACGCCGAACAACTGATAATTTTCCGACGCTGCGGCGACAGGTGGGTTTTCTTCGCTTAATCATGCTTTTTTTTGAAATTTCGCTGGAAATTGCCAAAGGTGAG